ACACACACATATACACACGCTCTCCTGTTAACCATAAATCCAAGCTGCTTGGTCCTGCTCAGAAAAAGAGGGGAGGCATTTGGGGATTCCTCCCGGACATGAAGGCTGGACAGGTAGGACAAGTCCGGGGAAAGGAGGACCACCTCCGGTCACCCTGCTTCTAAAGTTCCTCCCTGGCTGGGTGAGCAGAGGTCCCAACCGTCCCAGCCTGCCAAATGGAGGACACTCAAGGGGAGTGGAGGACCTGACCAAATAGAAGTGACAAACACTCTTAGCAATTTCAGTATTTACAGCTATATTACATGTGCTGTATCTTATTATTAGCATCTGCCGGGGATGCTTTGATTGAGAGTTCCTGCATGGCAGGGGGTTGGACTGGATGGCCCTTGGGGTCTCTTCCAACTCTGATTCTGTTATTCCATCATCATCATCGTCGTTGTTGTTGTTGTGGACTCACAGCAACCCACATGGATGAGACATCTCCAAGACCCCCTTATTTCACATTCTTTTATCCTGATCTCACTGCAAAGAGGAGGATAGGATGGATCCTTCTAAAGTTTTTTTCCTAGGAGCCACAGCAGCAGTAGGAGACAAGACTAGCCCCCCTCCCAACCCCACATACAGATGATGTCCCCTAAATTAGGTTGGCCAAGGAGTTAACAGTCCTGGCTGTGTGCATTTGCCTTCAAGTTGCCTGTTGACTCAAGACCCCATGAGGTTCGTAGGGCTAGGCAAGAAATATGTCATAGATGCTTTTGCCAGGTTCTTTCTTCTATAGCACCCAGGATTTCGTGGTGGGCTCCCATCCAAGAACTAACCAAGGCTGACCCTGCTTGGCTTCCAAGATTAGATGGGGTCTGGTGTCTTTAAGGCAACAGTACCCAAACTTTTTACCCTTGGGACACCCCCCCCCCTTTACATCTGCATGCAGACATATGTGAATAAAAATATTTTGCTTATTTAGTGTACGTATTTTCATTCGCACATTCATATATATTCAAATTTTAACTTTTTATAAGGAAAACATTATTCAAATTGTTGTTGTTAACTGCCCTCAAATCATCCCTGACTCATGGGAACCCTGTGGATGAGACATCTCCAAGCCCCCCTGTCCTCCACTGCTTTGCTTAGGTCCTGTAAATTAAGGCCTGTGACCTTCCCTATTGAATCTATCCATCTAGCATGTGGCCTTCCTCTCTTTCCACTACCTTTTACCTTTCCTAGCGTTATTGTTTTTTCCAGTGAGTGATGCCTTCTCATGATGTGGCCAGAACACAACACCCTCAATGTAGTCATCTTGGATTCCAGTGAGAGTTCAGGCTTTATCTGCTCATTTATTTATCCTCTTGGCCATCCACAGTGTCCTCCTCACCCTCCATGAGCACCACGTCTCAAATGAGCTGATTTTCTTCTTATCTGCCTTCTTCATTATCCAGCTCTCACATCCATACATGGTGATGGGGAATGCAGCGGCTTGGACAATTCTTACTTTAGTGTTCAGTTGTATATCTTTGCTCTTTGTGATCTTGTCATGTTCCTGCGTAGCTGCCTTTCCCATTCCTAGTCTTCTTCTGATTTCCTGACTGCAGTCTCCATTCTGATCAATGTTCAAATTAGAACAATTTTATTTAAGTAAATTCAATATTTAAGTCAATGAATGTATAAATTCTGCACATAAAAAAGTTTGGGAGGAGAAGGGATCAGAGCCACTAAGCCTCATATCTCTGTTGAGCACCTCTTAAGGGTGACTCTCCCCAGGGGTCCCACCCCACCATTTGAGAACCCCTGCTTTAGGATATTTAGGCCCTCTTGTGACTAAGTAGCTATTGCAGGGGTAGGCAACCTAAGGCCCGGGGGCCGAATGCGGCCCCCTGAAGCCTTTGAACCGGCCCCAGGCCGGCCCTGCTGCTGCCCGCCATGATGATATTGATTATTGTTTTTATTACCTGTTCTTGGGGTTTTTCTTGGCAAAATCTCCACAGGGGTTTTGCCATGGCTTTTCTGAGGCTGAGAGAGTGTACGTGCATATTTTTTTATTTTTTATTAAATTTTTAATTTTAATTTTAATTTTAATTTATTTATTTATTTATTTTTGGTGCTTCAGCCCCCCAATTGTCTGAGGGTCAGCAACCCGGCTCCCGGCTCAAAAAGGTTGCCTACCCCTGAGCTATTGTGAATACAAAACAGCTACAGGTGATAAAACTGTGTCAGTTGCTTAGTTATCAGTATCAGCTACAGGTGATTAAAACTATCAGCGCAGGTGAGTAAATATGTATCACCTGTTTAGTTAAGTATACTTAATTAGGTAATGTCTCCTGGCTAGCCTCCCTCCAAACCTGATGGAAACATAATTCAGCCATGCTCTGATCACAGGCAAAATGGCCCTCTTTTTTCTCCATATAGCTGATGCCCAGTGAAGCAGGTTGGGGTTGGGAGAGATTATGATTGTGGCAAAAATGTAAAAATTGTGATTAAGCAGTAATTTTGAATACAAATACAAAATTTTGAATACAAATACAAATACAAAACAGTAATTTTGAATACAATTACTGCTTAATCACATTTTTTACATTTTTGCCATGATCATAACTTCGTTCTCACCCGCACCCCAACCTGCTTCACTGGGCATCAGCTACATGGGGGAAAGAGAGTTCCATTTTACCTGTGATCAGAGCATGGCTGAATTATGTTCCCATCAGGTTTGGAGGGGTCTAGCCAGGAGACATTACCTAGTTAAGTATATTTAACTGAGGGCCTTTGCAGACTGCCAGAAATAGTGCACATTAAATTGAGGCACTGCCCTGGCTCAGTGCTAGGGAATCATGGGAACTGTATTTTTTTTCTGAGACATTGAGCCTTCTCTGTCAGAGAGCTCTGGTGCCACAATAAATTACAGTTCCCATGATTCCCTAGCACTGAGCCAGGGCAGTGCCTCAATTTAATGTACACTATTTCTGGCAGTCTGCAGAGGCCCTAAGGGCCTGAACAGACTGCCAGAAATAATCCAGCTTGAGACCACTTTAATTGTCCTGACTTAATGTTAGGAAATCATGGGAACTGTAGTTTTTTCTGAGGCATTGATCCTTCTGTCAGAGAGCTCTAGTGCCACAATAAACTACAGTTCCCATGATTCCCTAGCACTGAGCCAGGGCAGTTAAAATAGTCTCAAACTGGATTATTTCTGACAGTCTGTTCAGGCCCTAAGCAGCTGATACAGAATTCCAGTCCATTTTAGCACTTCATTTGTTTGGCAGAGAAAGGAGATAGATATCGCCTCACTGTTCTTGCATGGCAAAGGGTTTGAGCATCAGAGTACAATTCTAGAGACCAGAGTTCAATTCCCCACTTGACCATGAAACTCAGTGGGTGAGCTTGGGCAAGTCACATGCTCTCAACCCCTGCAGAAAGCAATGGCAAACCTCCTTTGAACAAATCTTGCTAAGAAAAACCCACAATAAGCTCACCTTGGAAACAGCTTGATGGCACACAACAAGAAGAAGTTCTTGTTCTACAAATATGTATTGGTGTTGCGTTTCACCACATTCCCTGTCCACCACTTCTGTGTCCTATGGGCAGGTAATTCTGAAAACAGGGTAACCTCATG